AATTATTTAAACAGACAAATCGCAATCCTAACGAATACTTCAGTTATCAATAAATTAATTTTTTTTATCACCAATTATGAACTGTAGAATTTTTATTGTATTTATTATATGAATTATTATATATTTATTTATATATATTTATTTATTGTATTTATTACTGACGAGTGTAAAAACTGGCCATAGATATTTATGATGGGGTTCTATGAACAGTGCCGCGACTGAAGCAGCTGTTTCTAAGCTGGAGCCAGCTAGGCACCGAGGACAGGGTGCAACTGGACGCGAAAGTTGCCAACTGGTGTTGCCCCAATAGGCGACAATTGTACAAACCTCTCCAGGAGGCACTCATCCGCTGGGAAACCGTGCAGGACACTCAAGGTCCTTAATAAAAAGTTATATAAATTCACCTGAAACATTTGCCCTTATCATACCTAAAATTACATTAATTGCATTTCCTTCCCATAACTTAAAATCAATATTATTCATGTATTATTTTTATTATTATTATTATTCATGTAATTTAAAAAGTAGTATAACAAAATAGTCAAGTAAATAAACGAAAATTCATAGAATGTATTATTTTATAAGAAATCTATTATTTCCTTTGATTGCTTAAAAAAAATAAATGGTCGATTTAACAGGTGCTCCGGGTTGCGAACCAGGGATGGTCTCCTTCTCGTGCGATCCCCAACTCGAAGAGGAACTAGTGAGCGTGATTTATAGTCTGGAGCTGCTGTTCACGAAGAATCGACGAACTCGCGAAATCGACATGGAATACGAAGTGGGTCGTTGCACGGATCTCAAGAGAGACATGTCACTGAACCTGAACTGTGACAATAATTTGCGGTCAATGTTGAGTCCTAAAGACAGGACACCCCACTCGGTGCACAGCTGCGGTTACATCGCCGATTTCAAACAATCCGACGAAGAACTCAGCGGATACTTGACTAATTGATTAATCGATTGGTATCATCGACGTGGATTATCAATTAAGGCTTTGCTAGTGGGAAACGAGGTATCGTGTAAGGACGATTTTTACAGTGAAAGAGAATCGGGTATATATGGGATTTTATTAGAAATTTTTATAATTGAAGCACTGAATTGTACAAATACTTGAGTCATAGAAAGTTAGGGATAAGGTAAGAACGTAATGGAATAAATTCCTTCAATTATTCGCAACCAAACGGGAACTGATATTATTTTTTATTTAATAGATTTTGGATTAAACATTTTTCTGTTTAAAGCTAATTTATTTTAAGTTCTACTTTTTATAAATAGACGAAGTCTGTGATTGATTAAATTCAGGGGTGGTTAGTGACATAAAATATTTTATTAATCATCGTTATAGGGTCAAGGTGTACATACATTCAAATAATATACAGTTCGACCATCTTTATACAACGAAACGATACGAAACAGAATGGAACGTGTTCGGATCACAATCGCATAATTCCTCGTTAATCATTCCCTCGTCTATAATATACATAATTATTATTACACAGCAATAATAATAAGTCTCAGGACGAACGCTGCTCATTGAGAGAAAGGTTATTACGATACAGTGCACAATCGATTAAAACCGCGCATCGCGATAGCAAGGAGCGCACCTTGGATCGTGTATCACCCGAGATTATCCTCGCTACATTGGAGAAGTTTGTGCATCCCGGCAAAACACAAATCGTAGCCACGGTTGTCTCGGCTCGCGACGTCTCTCATTTTTAATTGTTCCTATTTACATTTTAGTTTAAAACAAATCCTGTGCGGTCCGTCTTCACGTCGAGGATGAGGAGCTGTTGTACGGGAACCTAAGTTATTCGAAATCGTGGGGTGGTTAAGTACTATGAAAGCTAGCTAAACGGCCGAAGGAATCGTCGAGAATAACGAAGGTTCCTTTTACACTTTTTTTTTTTCGCTACTGTCCTTCTTAAAAAGAAAATCTGGGACCACATAGGAGGAAAGTTTCCAGCTTGAAACACGTTTACATTCTCCATTGCGGAGGAGAGGGTCGCCCGAGGTGAAATTCAGTTTGAATCACAGATGTATGTCGGCTAGGTCCGATAGTTTGATCGGACGCGTCTATTGCTACTAGTTTCCGTCGCTTTTTGTCTCCGGGCGACGGCGTCGGAAGGAGAACCCTAATTTTCTTAATACAGCTCCTTTCCCAAAGAGAGTTTTTCTTCATAGAAGAAATCGATGCGGGGGGGCGGGGGCTGTGTCATCGGTTTTTTGTGAATATTGCACAAACTCGTATTTTGTCTAACGATTTATAAAAAGCCCAATACCGGGGCCGACGGGTCCTCTTCGGATTTAAAGAAGGTTGCGTCGTTTTAGTTGAAATCCTGAAGGGCAGAATAATCTTCCGATTTCAAACTGTATCTCGATAGTAGTCGGTGTGTCTGAACGCTCCGAAGGATTCTTTTATTATTGCAGTCAGAGTCCAGGCAATGTCTGTTCCTCGTTCGTCGACAATTTTTCACGTGGAGAACGATAATACTTTGAGAGTTGAATGCGCTACAACGCGCAGGAATCTCGTTACGCAGCCCCGCGCTCCTCCCCCGACCCGTCGCAATTAAACAGCCCCGAGATATTCGCTTGGCGGCTGCCACGGAGAGGTAATTTAGGTCCTTTCGTCACCACAACACGCGTTCTAAATGGTGTACCGCTTAATAGTTTTTTAATATTCTGTCGATGGTACCATGCCGTGTGTGCCGCTAGACAAATACGCGAAAAACAAGTCCTCGTCCGATCGACGATCTCCGCGACAGCTTCGTCAATTTTTTTTTTTTTTTTATTGCTTTTAGATCGCCCTTTGCTTTTCCTAAGGATCGCTGCGACGATCGTCGACGGGACTGAGTCCTTCGCTCTCTGTGCCATGTTTTCTTGCCGTGAATCGCGAAACTCCAGCGCGAATTAATTAGAAAACCGATAGGACGTGGTCCCGCAAGAATTGAGTTCTCGTCTCGAGACGGCGTGGACTGAAGCGTGGCCTGAAAGCTGAACGGCAGCGACGGCTCGTCCGCGGTGACGGAAAGCGATCTCGCGTATCCACTTGTACCTTCGTATCGTATCATTATAAACAGGCACGAATCTCGTTATTTAATCCCCGTGAAAAGAATATTCTAAATTAGTTAGTTTCAATCGATTACATAGTCGACAATTATACGATAAATCATAAACGAAATTTCCATTTTTATTAAAAACACAAGTTCTTACTTTTTCTAAAAAAAAATTTTCATTCGTTCACGTTCGTGGAACAAGTACCCATGAAACGATGATACGATAGCAAGATGTGACACACGCGTTTAGGGCAGATTATTATACTAAGACCGCCTGCGCTGTGTACAGGGTATGAAACGTATTTTTTTCTTTTTTTTTTTGTATTTTCTCTTAAATAAATCTAAATTAAACGTACGAGTAGAAACACATTTGCCCGTATGCTAAATAGAGGCTAAAGAGATATACACACAAGATCCAACCGAGTACCATGCATACGCGCCATTAGTACAAACGTGAGTGATAACTCCGCCGTGGACCAAAAACGGTTTACTCTCATTACTTTCTTCCATTTGGTCGCTCGCCTCATTAACGCCTCCGCACTACCAAGAAGTTCGTTTAAATAATAATGTCTTCTCTGGTAACGAAATTAAACGAATCGGAGCGTCTGGGGGGAGCTGCTAAAACGCGGGTCAAGTGGATTTAACAACGACGTAAACAGAGTGCAGTCATTATTCTTCTTCTTCTTTCTTCTGCCAGGTTGCGTGTGTGGTTTACATTCGCGTGTCG